GCGGCACCCGATTGTGCATGAGCATTTGTTGGGGGTTGAAGGTGTTGACACAACAGATGGGTTCAATATATGAACCCCCAACCGAACATCGTGCCCTGCATTTGGGTGGTCGACGACAAGAAAGACATCGACACAACAGGACAAGGCAATCACACACCATGCCCAGCCCTCCGAATCACGGCTGGGAAGACCAGATGAATGGTGCAGCTGTCCCAACCCAAACGCAACCCCACACCCACCCACAAATTCGTCTAACAGGCTAAAGTTAAATGAGACCCCGGTAAATGTATCCATCATAATGCTGCCAGTCTGACATTCGTATTGGCGGCGCAACACCACTGGAGTTTGTTGACATCAAACTTGCTCTCTCTCAAACTCGCTCTCAAACTTCAATCTCTCTTCTCTCTCTCAAACTCTCCTTCTCAAACTCTCTCTCGCTCTGAAACTCTCAACTCTCTCTCGCTCAAACTCTCTCTCTCTCTCTCCCTCTCTCTCCCTCTCTCTCTGTCGTTGTCGACCAAGGCGGAGCTCCAGTCGCGCGTTGGTCACTCCATGTCCCGTGGGCGCGCTTGAACTGCTCACTGACGTTGCAGCCAACGACATTGTGGATGCCTGTTACCTTGCGATTCACACACACACACACACACACACACACGCACTCAGCAGCGCGTCGCACTGCTCAACTGACCGCCATGACGGCAGAGGAGCCGCGCGCTATCGGACACGGGCGACCTGGTCGGCGGGCGCTCAGTGGGCTTGCCCTCCTCCTAGCACTCGCCGTCACGGGCGTGGGCGCAACCAACCGTGCGCCCACAACCTTGAGCTTGATGGATACGACGAGCAACCTTTTTACCAAGGACGCTACCGTCTCCCACAACATCCCAGCGTTGCGCGATTTGGACGCGTTGCCGGACCGCAGTCTCCCTGAGATGCGCCTGAAAGCTGCCGCATCTCCATCTCGCTCCGTACGTAACTTAATTGGAACCTTGCCCCAGCCCCCACTCATTGCGACCAGGTTTAAGCCAGCTCGAATCTCGCGCCACTCGGGGTTTCACCGTCGTGCCTCTCCTGTGCTCACCTCACCTATGGCCCCACACGCGCGCCTCTTGCTCCCAGCGTCGGGCAGCCTCCACCGACCCAAAAATCATCACCAACACGCTCGACGACCTCTACAGCTATGCCACCATCCACTGGAGTGGGGATAGCAGCCCCAACGTCTTCGTGCTCACCCAGCGCTTTGGCAGTGACGGCTACGCTAGCGTCTCCAATGTCTACCGCTCCACCGACTACGGCGTCTCCTACTCACTTCTCAACACCCTACCCTCAAACGCCGTCGTCGACTACCTCGTGCCCAGCCCCCTCTCTGCCAAACACGTCATTTTTGTGGGCCAGGCTGCCCAAGCCTTTTACATCACGCAGGACGATGGTGATAGCTTCACCACCGCTAAGCTCAGCTTTGAGCCCACTGAACTCACCATGAACCCCAACATCGATGGCCTCCTCTTCGCGCGCGACAATACCACCCAGTTCCTCTACGTCAGCAAAGACCGTGGCCAAACCTTCAGCCCGGCCTTGACCGACGGCGAGCAAGAGCATCGCGTCGTTGCCGCCTACTGGTCGCGCGCTGGCTATGGCAGCGATAATGATGATACGTTGTATCTCGAACTCGACCAGTCCGCCACCAGCACCATCGCACACGTCGTCCGCATCAACAGCGCCCGCGCCGCCGTGAACAACAACGCCGCTGACTCTGGTGATGACATTGGGCAAGGCCTCACCGGCATTGTCCCGGGCTCCTTTATCCTTGCCGATGCCTACTGCATGTTCCAAACTGGCCCTGCCAATAATCGCTCCCTCTACGTGTCGTACAACCGAAGTGCCTTCCAGCTCGCCGACTTTAGCGGCGGTGCGCCAGAAGCCAATTATATGGTGGTCGATGCTCTCGAGGATCAGATCATGGTTGCCGTCGAGCACCTCAACAAAAGCAATCTGTACATCTCCAACCGTCAAGGCCTAGACTTCACCCTCAGCCTTGAAGACGTCAACTGGTTCACCGCCTACAGGACCGCCTACGTCGATGTCAAGCCCATCGAAAGCCTCGAGGGGGTCTACGTTGCAACGCAGCGCTTTGCTTCGGGGGCTCACGTCTACCTCCGCACCCTCATCACGTACGACAAGGGTGCCCGCTGGCAATCCGTCCGGCTTGATGGTTGTGAAGGAGACCAAGACGCTTGCGGCCTTCAACTTTACCTGCAGTACACTGGCCTCTACAAGGGGTTTAGCTTCGAGACGACAGTCGCCACTCAGAGTGCCCCGGGATTCATCCTGGCCACCGGTAACAACGGAAGCCTGCACACCGCTGACAGCGGCACCTACGTCTCGCGCGACGCAGGCCTCACTTGGTCGAGTGTCGAGGACGATGCTTATCAAATGCTCATCCTTGAACACGGTGGCGTCATGGTCCTCGTTTCTCCCATTGACATTCAGCACGCCAGCTCCGTCAACGAGCTCAAGTACTCCATCGATGAAGGTCGTACCTTCAACAACGCTGCCGTGCCCTCGTCCTTGCACTTTGCCGCGATCCTGACCGAACCCGGCGAGACGCGCGCCCTCCTCACCATCTGGGGCTATCCCAAAAGCGGCTTCTCACGCAAATGGACCATCGTCTCCGTGAATTTTACCGCCATCTTTCACCGCAATTGCAATTTTCCTAGCGATTACGAGCCTTGGACGCCCCGTGACCCTGCCTCGCCGCTCATGTGTGACCTGGGCCTCTCCGAGGTTTTTTGGCGTCGCACTGCCAAGGCTGCTTGCCTCAACGGCTATGACTTTGACCGCCCCACCAATGTGTCTGCCTGTGAATGTGTGGCCGAAGACTTTGAATGCGACGAAGGCTTTGAGCGCACGGCCATTGATCAACCCTGTGTACCCGTGTCCAATAAAGCTGCAAAACAGTGCACCCCCGGGGAGACGGTAACCATGTCCCGTGGCTATCGCCGCGTGGCAGATGATGGTTGCACGGGTGGTCTGGCTGTGCTCATCGAGCCTGTAACCTATATTTGTCAAAACTTTTGTCCTGTGAGCGAGTGGACCGATTGGACCAGCTGTGACCTCTGCGCCGGCGACGAGTTTAGCTTCCGCCGCCGTCAAAAGCTCGATGTTACCGTCGACGATGATTTGTGTCCCTGCCTGACGGAGAGCCGAGCTTGCCCTCGCCCGTCTCTCTCCTCCGCCGTGGCCATTGTCCCTCGAGTGGCCCGATTCGCCGTCGACTCTGAAATTATTCTCACTTCCAGCCTGGCCACGCAAAGCCCCGCCTGCGCTGCTGGGACCACGGTCTTTGGCCTTGTTACCTTCCATTGGGATCTTGGCACGACTGCCGTGCAAATTCTCAATGGTGCGAGTGACTCGCGCTCAACGGCCACCGTGTCTGACCTATCTATCACCCAACCTGGCATCTACTCGGTCGTTCTTCGCGTCAAGTAGGTCGATGGGCGCTTCTGTCTTGCCCATGACCAAGCGGTCAACCTCGCCAACATCTAACGTTACTGTCAACCTCATTCTTGCTGTAGCAATTCCCAATCTGAGGGCAATGCCACCAGCACTGTGATTGTTTACGCAAGCTACGTAGTTATGGGCATGACGTATGATGCCTCAGGCATCACTTCACTCGACGCCGTGCGACAGGTGCGGCCCTGGTCTTGGTTTTGACGTGCCTCCAAGCGGTGCACCCATTGTTCCTGGCCTTTCATTGCTTTCAATTACCATGACCTCACGTGTTCCTGATTTCTCGGACATCCCTTCCCCGCTGCCCGGTGCATACCTCTCATCGCTGTACAACTTGGCTGTGTAGTTGCTGATTGAGCAATTTCCCGTCCTTTTGGATGCAGCCAGTGTTCAGGATGCTGAATTGGTGGACCAGGTTACAGTCAGTCAGAGCGGTCAGCAACTTGTGGTGGAATTCCGGGTCCTCGATGCTGACGGGGCAGCCAACTTTGTGGAGCGGCTCAGCGCGGACATTCGCAAGTACGCCGAACAGGGCAAGCTCGACCTCACCTACGCCAACCACCACATTGCGGCCCAGCCCACGACGCTTCACGTCGTTTCGGGCGCTACCAAGGGGGCTGCAACGCATGGTGCGGGTGCATACACAACATCACCCAAGCCAACCGTCATGGCCAGCCGCGATGCCTCTGGCAACAAGTCGCTTGTAGGAGCCGTGGTGGCTTTGGGCCTGATTATTTGTCTGCTTTTGGGCGTGGCTGGTTTCATGATTCTGCGTCGCCGCTTGCGCAGCAGCCGCACCTACAACCGCTTGGAACAACGTACGTGCCTTGCGGCTCCTCCCTTTGATTTTATTCGTAGTTTTCGATCCTCTTGCCCTTGCCCTTACTCTTTTTTTTTTTTCTTTTTTTTTTTTTTTTTCTTTTTTTTTCTTTTTTTTCTTTTTTTTCTTTTTTTCTTTTCCCTCAAGAGCATGTGTTGAACTAACTCGGGCTTGTTCTGCACTCTCTTTGTGGTCTTGATCAGGGGCCAATGGATTCGAGGATGAGTTGGAAGACAATGCAGATCCAGAGCATATGCCAGCCGGAGTAACGGCCAATGTACGTCGCTTTCAACACAGCACAGAGGAATGCAGTTGCGCTGTTTTTCCTCCGCCAAACCAGTCGGCAGCATGTGGTTGCAAACAGGCCGGCTTACCCAGCACTGTGGAACCTTCTTAGAATTTGTTCCTCGGAGAGCCCCGGGCGCAAGGGGACGTGTCTGTACACGAAAACGATTATGACGATGAACTTCTGGACTTTTAGCTGGCAGGCTCACCGTTGTTTTTCAGAAAGAGCATTCTGCTCAGCTACTTCTTTCCCTGTTGTACACTAAAATGGCCGAATGAGCAGATGCCACCACCGGCGTAGTATTTCCTTTCTTCTTTCGTCCTTACTTTCTGGCGTCTTACCTGATTTTTGTTCTGACTGGGTGACTCACCTTCCCTATCAGCCGCGCTGATAGTTTGGGTTGTCTTTTCTGTGCTGCCAGCCATTTGACATGCAGGTGAAAGCATTTGTTTGAAATTTAAAACCCATCGTGCTGCACAAGTGATCTCGCTCTAATATGTAAATCAGGGTATCTTGCTATGACTCCAATCAAGTACAAGCTTTCGTGTTGCACGGGGCCTGTACTCCCCTAAATCTCAAACCCGGATTTTACCGACGGGGGCATTTTTTTTTTTTTTGTCTCCTCTTTGCTAATTGCCAAGAACCTTGTCAGCTCGCGTACAAGCACCTCTCTTACGAAGCCTCTCTTAAAAAGCGAGAGAAAGATGTTGGGCATTGATTCATTATGACGATGCGCTTGCTAGCCAAGACGGTTACGCGCTGACAGACCAACGGTACAATTATACGAGAACACACTGTGCACCTGACCGACCGAAGCCGACTGAGTCAGATGAGTACGGAAGCCTGAATATAAACAGTCAGCAAAGTTGACACCGAGTCTCGTCCACGCTCAGCCCGAGCTCAAGGTCGGAACAATCAAGAGGTCTGTGAGCCGCACGGCAGCTCAGCCTAAGGGCAAAAAGCAACGTGACAGTTCACGGCTTGCGAAACTGCTGTAGAATCGAATATATGGCATTGATGGCATCGTGGATGGTCTGCCGACTCTTGGCGCCGGTGACAACGACCTTGCCACTACCAAAACATCAGGAGAAGCACGCAGGGGGTCACGCAAATGATATGTGAGGCAATCTTGGAAAAACGGTTGCTCGTCAAATGAAAATCAAACCGACTCGAGGCATCGCACCTGACAAAAATAAGCAGGACAACTTTGGGCTTGACCATGCGATATACGAGTCCTGGAAAGATTTCAGGCTCATAGCTGAAAATCAGTGATGGGCAGGCACACGATGTGAGGCACGCGTGCCCTTGAGAGCGAGGTACACGGGGAGAGCCTGTCAAACTCACGTGCAGAAGCATTGGTGATTGGCAGCCAGACCCTCAAGGCGGATCGGGAAGCGCACATCACAGGAGCCGACCATGTTTTGAATCTGAAAGTTTTCATGGCGCAACTCCTATCAGCCCGGCAAGTCGGTCAAGGCAAAGTCAAGCACAACTCAATGAGGCCTACAGGGGCACGGCAACGAAGGAACGTTTCGAACGGCTGTGCATTTGGCTATGATCAGGAGCAAAGACGTACGCCATAGCCCAGCTTCTTGATGATTTGTGCGTATTTTCGTGTCGCTCGCCAGGCATCATCCTCACTGCAAGGTTGGCAGGAACATGAGGGTTGTTCGAGTCTTAGTCAGTGTGCGGCCTCTTCACCGAAGGGTGAGGAAGCACTGCTTGTGGTACTGCCAGCCCAATGTGCAGAGAAGGGTGCATTTTTGCACACACCTTTTTGCTCCGGTGCAAATCATTTTGCCAGAAGAGAAGATGAGTGCCGTTGTGTGGGGCTCGCGAATGCGCATAATCACAGCCGAGAAGCGCTGAGTCACGGCCGTGGCCGCAATGCAGCCGAAGAAAGGAGGAGCACCATCAGAGCCTGGTGTCACCAAAAAGCCTGGAGGTAGTTCTTGGCAAGGCATGACTAGGGGGAAGGCGAGTACATACCTTGGGCGAGTACTCGGCATTGCGCGCGTTGTTGGCAATGTGCTTGAGATCCAGCTTACAATTGAAGGTCACCGTGGCCACAAGATTGCTACATCAATGATGACACACATAAGTGCAGCAATGGTGGGTCCTCAAGAGAATGGACAGCCCACATGCACGGGCACACCGTCACAAACGTACACAATTTTGGGGATCACCCCGGTGCGGTGCCGTTCCCGGGCCACACCCTCGGGCTGAGCCACCTGTGTGCAAACAACACGGGCCAAAGACAAAGACGCGGCACATCACCAAGAGCGAGTGCAAGTTTGGATGGGATGAGAAGCGAGCATAGAAAGGCTTCTGGTTGAGCCAGGAAGACCTTGAGTGAAACACGTGTGCTTTGTACGCACCGGCAATAGGGCTTGGTCGCCATCATCGGCGGGATCTTGCGCCGTTGCCCCGAGCTGTGTCTGCGGCTGCGAGTCGGCGCTACTCGCCGCCGTGGGCACGGAGATTTGTGACATGTCCGAGGTGATAAAGCTGATGGATGGTGTGGCAAGGAAAGCAACGACGCGGGGTCCGAGCTAACGAATGGCGTTGGCGCAGCGATTAAGACACCCTCGAGCACCCCATTTGCATTCCAAAAGGAAGGGACCGTTATTGAGGGACAACAAGCACACACACACACACGCTCGTCAACGTGAAAAAAAAGCACAACAGAAAAGGTTGAAAAGAACAAAAGACAAACTTGTGCTTTGGTTTCCTCTCACTCTGTCACTCTGTCACTCTGTCACTCTCTCTCTCTCTCTCTCTCTCTCTCTCTCTCTCTCTCTCTCTCTCTCTCTCTCTCTCTCTCTCTCTCTCTCTCTCTCTCTCTCTCTCTCTCTCTCTCTCTCTCTCTCTCTCTCTCTCTCTCTCTCTCTCTCTCTCTCTCTCTCTCTCTCTCTCTCTCTCTCTCTCTCTCTCTGTGCTGGTCTCTGTCTGCTGGTCTCTGTCACTTTGTCTCTGTCATTCTGTCTCCGCCTTTGTCTCTGTCACTCTGTCTGTCCCCGTCGCTCTGTCTCCGTCTCCGTCTCTGTCACTCTGACAAGACCTTAGTCGAACGGGAATGCAAACACACGCATAGGACTGACCAACGAGCACGCAAAGTGGAGCAGAAAGAATTTAAATGACTGGACCATCATCAGCATGCTTAGCGACGGGCATCGGCTGTCAAAAAACGTCAACCCTGTACCTCTCGGTCGTTTGCGAGTCAAGGTGGAAGATCATGAATTAGTGGTGAAGGAAGGACACGCAGCTTCCTAACAACTTGCATGACCGCCAAAAACAAGCGTGGCACAATGATCCCAGCACATGAATAACCCTGGTGTTTCTAAGCCTGGGCAGTGGCGTCCTCGACCGGTGTCTCAATCTTGTGAGCGTCCAGCTCATCCAAGTTGATGTCTGCCTCGCCCGTTGTCTCCGAGTCCCCGTTGTCTGCGGCAGCGAATTGGCGCGAGCTGTGGCGGAAACATGAGAGACTGAAGCGAATGCCATCGCCTTTGGAAAAGAAGCTGCCCCCGCTTTTAAATCTCTCACACGCATGATGCGGGACACAGAACCCATCTGGCACGCGGAAATTGGCATCGTGACACCATACCTGGTTGATGTGCCCTCGCTCATACCGGCCACCTTGTCGCCAGGATGGAAGAAAGGACACCCCTTGCCCTTGCTGTAGCAGTCGGCACCGTGTCGGCAAGGCCTGGACCAGGGCAATGCAGCAATGTGTCAAAGTCCAGCCCAACCTCAAATAACAGTGGATGCGGACATACACAGCATAGCAGAACTCAGAACCGGCATTGAGTGACCCAAGCTCTTACTTTGGATGGAAGAAGGGGCAGCGTGGGTTTTTGCACGCTGGAAAGTAGCGGCACATCACTGAGGCCACGCCTGAGGGAGCAGATCCCGTGCCATATGCACCACCCCGGCCCCGCGGCGCGCCACGGCCACGGCCACGGCCACGGCCGCGACCTCGACCAGCAGCTAGAGTTGCTGCATACCCCTGCCAAAATGAGGTTTGACAGATAGCCCACGATGAGCAACCAAAAGAGAGAAAAGAAAAGGTAACCCTCTAGCCTCCCATGGAAAAAAGAGGGCAAACAATTGAAGACACGCAAACACACCATATTGATGGGCAGGCCTGTTGCAGCATCCACAGGGATCATTTTCTACGCGTCGGATCAAGAAAGCATACAAACTTGAGAGCCCCCTCCGCGATGGAGCAACACCGCAAGTACAGGATCTTTACAACAAGAAAGGCAAGAACATCTGAAAGGATTAGAGGGACGCACCACGCCAGAAGGAAACGTCGGCATGCTGGACGTAGGGGCCATTTCCCGAGCTGGGGGAAGCATGCTTGTCCGCACATCCGTGCCAGATGGCTCCAGCTATTTGTCGCAAGGTAGCAGTCAAATGAAGAGGAGATGAGGTTGGTGACATGGAAGCAAGAATATTGCATGGCCTCGTGCGTTCAAGAAGCATGGCAGACCTGCTGGGGTGCTGCACTTCCTAGTCGACTGCACAACGATGAAAAGCAGATAACCAGAAACATGAGCATGCCGTCTGGGCGACACAAAGATCAATAGCGGCGAGGCTACCACATCAACATACTCGAAGATTGACTTGCGCTTTTTGGCGGGTTGGTCCCCGCCAGAGACACTGGTCGCATCAGCGCCGCTTGCATATTCACGATCTTGATGTGCACGGGGTTGACGCTCCCGGTACTCGGGAACACGGTGATCTCGCTGCAACGTTTGACGCAAATCACCTTGGCCACGGGCAGGATGCTGGCGCTCGTGGGATGATGGCCCAGCTCCTCGACGCCGGTCATGACCACCTGGCTCGGCTTTGGAAGCCTGCTGCAAAGCCCGGGCAGCCAGCCTGCGAAGCACAGGGATCACAAGGGTCAAGATGGTGCTGGCGCAACAATGTACACACATGAGCAAAAAGGCTGACGTGATACGGTTTCGGTCGAATGGTCGGACCTCGAGTTTTGAAAAGCCTCAGTGGCCTTGCGTGCGTGCTTTGCTCGCTCTTCGCGGCTGTATTGGGATTTTGGGGAGAAAAAAAAAAAACAGCCAAGTCCTGTCAGACTTCACGTCTCGCAGTCAGAGATTAGGCGATGCGGGGCAAATAACCCACATGGCTTCACGCGATGGAGCAACAATGGCGCTGGAGATGCGGGCTCCAGAGGCGCGGCGTGCCGGTGGCTCGGAGGTGGAAGATGTGGCAGCGATCTGGCTCCGACTGGGCTCACGCTCAGATACGGACTCGGGCTCGGGGTGCGCATCAGGCTCCTCGATGATATCGGCCACGCTGTCATTGCCAAGAGTCAATTCCTCTGTCTCATAAATGTCCTGCACCTGTTCGTTTAGCCTAGATGAGGGGAGGGGAGGAGGGAAAAGTGTTTGTGTGTGTGAGAGAGTGAGAGTGAGAGTGAGAGTGAGAGAGAGGCGTGTGATCAAGGCCCGAGCGTCGAGATGCAAGGTGATGGCGAAGTTCCTACCACTTGAGGAACCAGGTTTGGTCCTGTTCATTGAGAAACTGAGCTACCTCATCTCGCACCATCTCCTGCGGGCGACGATGCTGCAAGAGCATGCAAACGTATTCACCCAAGTCATTGGCTAAAAAGACCGGAGCGAAAGAACATGAGCGAGTGCGCTTGCTTGTGCGCGATGCCTTCAAGATGAGAGTCGAAGCAAAGTTGACTGGGCACAAACCAATGTAGGAGGTTTCCTCCGAAGCAGACAACCGCTCGATGCAACGCTTCTGCAAAAGTTTCAACCATAGCAAGGGATGTTGTCAGGCACAAGCAAGTGCTGCCACCAGGTGACTCGGTTTGCCCAAAGACAACTGTGCAACGTACCTTGAGCTCGACGAGCCCATCGGCCGAAAGCTGATACTCATCCATATTGCAAGCTGACTACAAATGCAACCTTGAATCCCACACACCACGCCGCATACACGCGCCGCACACCGCCTCGCTCTCACGTGGCCCCCGTCGAGCCGGCTGCCGTCCAGTGAGCGTGTTCTGCACCAACTCAGCCCGACCACCAACGACGATGACGATGAGCTCAAAGTCTCTCCCTCTCTCTCAGTCTCTCTCCTCTCTCACTAGAAGAAAATACACCACAAGCAGTTTATGCAGGCCAAACTCGAGATTACGTAGATAGCATTCGCAGTTGTCTAGCAAACATATATAATTTGGAAGACAGTTTTTGTAGACCTTTGTAAAGAAGTCGACGGTCTCACTGGACTTGTGTGTTCAAGTGTGTCACCGCGTGTCGTTCGTTTGTCAGATGATATTGTCAGACTTTACTGGCCGGAAGGCGCAAGCAGCGATGTGGCGGCGCGAAGAGCGAAGCCCGTGGCTCTTCTGGGGCCTCGGGGCTGTCATGGTGTTGGGCTTGAGCTGGGTTTTCTTCCCGGAAAAGCACCTTGAAAAGAGCACAGCGCAACCCATGTACACGCAGCTGTCCCCAGAGGAATGGACACAGCTCGAAACCCTTTTGGATCAACACAGCGCATCGTTGAAGGGCGTCACACCATCTGCCCCCGACAACGACCCAGCTCCATTCTGGGCTCGACAGCTGCAGGATGAACAACGAGAGGGTTGGCGTGCACTTTCTTCTGATGTCATGGCTCGCTTTGACCATTTGACTGCTAGGGTGGAGAAACTAGAAGCTGCGCTTGTACAGGCGCGCGCCGATCCGATCAAAGTACCAAGCCAAGCGCTCTCGCCTGCTGACCAACAGCGTCAGCTGCTTCAATCTCTCTTGGCCTACAACCCAACTCTTGAAAGCGCTGCTGCGTAAGAACGGCGCGAATCGTGGTGCTTGCGCGTGTGTTGGGGTGTGGGTCGGCCTGGGTAGCTTTTATTCTTCAACTCAACTCGCGTGTACCGACCAACCTTCATACAGTGAAGGATGCACAAACTCAACGGTACTGGCGCAGTATGCCAGCCGGACTCGACAGCTCAACGTGGTGATGCGCAATGCCCTGGATGTCTTATTGGGGTCTGAGCTCGAGTCCACCGTCTTCCGACGCCACACCCCTCCGAATGCAGCCCCAAAGCTGCTCGTGGTGTCAGCCTGTACAAAGGATTTGGTGCCGCTGTACTGTGACCTATCGGCCGAGGCCATGGATGAGTACGCCGCCAGCTACGGCTTTGACTACATCCAGGTACAACGAAAAGCGGGTGAAGGGAATACCATGGCCTGCCCATCGTTCAATCAAAACACCAAACTGGGCCGCACCACTCATCCACCCACTTTTGCTCAGATACGAGCCGATCTGGACCCGGAACGTCTCAATCCCTGGATTAAAATACTTGTGCTGCGCTTGCTCTTGGAGCGCAACCCTTTGGTTTTGTGGATCGATGCTGATGTAATTGTGCGTGATCAAGACTGGAACTTGCCGGCCTTTCTGGATGAGCACATGCCCCCTGACGTGGCCGTGCTGGGAGCTGACGATATGGTAAGCACTTTTCTACAGCCGAATCGCGACTCCAAGCGAGACGATTTGAACTCCCGCGATTTACCCCTGCTGAGAGCATGCTGTTACAACTGGTCTTTCGATGTCGGCATTGCACCTCATTTTTGCGGCACCACATTCCTGGCCTGGGCGATCGATGCAGCTGGACTTTCAAAACACTTTCTTCTTGGCCTTGCGATCTACCACGCGCAATTTAGCCTTTTTGGAGCGCCTCTACATCACTGGTCCGCGTTTGCTTTGGCTCTTGCCCGATTCTTGAGCTCAAGCACCCTAGCCATTGACCCAGACGACTGTATCAATACCCATGGCGAACCCCGATAGGCTGGCTCTATGAGGGGCAACTATCACCCAACTTGATGACCAACCACTCAATGCAAGAATGGGTGGGCCGGTATGCTTCGCCGTAATGTCATGATCACAACTCTCTGTCCAATTGCTCCTCTACGGTACCTCTTCGCCTCTCATACATTCCCTGCCGTCTCAGGCTCAGACCCCCGCGCCCATTGGCGGAGCTGGCTAGGCGATGCAGCTTGACGCGCAAATATCATGAACAAGGATGCATGGAGTGGTTACATCTTGACTTTCCGACATACAAGCAGCGTATCAAGCGTCTGGACCATGAAGCCCTAGCTGCCATCGTGTATAAAGATGTTAAAACACTGTACTGTCCCACGGGCCCGCCGCTATTGCACATCTGTTGTCGCACGCCCTTGGTGCGTCGTAAGATCATGCAGGAGTGCATACAGCAGCTCAAGTCTGGCCCCACATGCTGGTGGAGGGATCATCCCGAGACAGCCTTACCGCCACGACCCGTGCGCCCTTGATGTGCGTGTTTTTGAGGCACAGGGGTGGCAGCTGGAGTAGGCCGCAAGGCACACTCCCTGCTCAATTTTTTAGAGTCGTGTCGAACTGCAAAGTTATGCGTCTACCATGGCCACATGTGTCCCCGAGCCTTCCTCGGCACAATTAGGCTTTGGAATGGAGGAGTTGATAAATCGCTCCCATGTCACATACCAACGGTTGTGAACATGAATCCAGCTCAATCTAAATCGAGATCTAACAGCTGCAGAAGAGAAAATCGAGAGCCCCGGCTCGAATTTCCCAAATCAGAGGATTTTTGTTAGCGTCAAATCCGTGCTTCCACGCATTTGAACACTCCCACTGCTTTCGCACACACTCAGCATCGGTCGCTATGGGTCTTCCTATTGGTATTCCATAGCTACGACGACCTCACACATTGACACCTACTTTTGGACCCCCTGGGCTTGATCCTCCTCGTGGCAGTCACATGAGTAAACACCGCGTGTGACGCGGTCCCCACGATGCCTGGGCAGCTGCCCTGGGGCAATAAGCTTGTGGCTACTGTTGTTTCCCTTTGTTGTGACACCTGCGGTCGGGCACGAGTTGCACTTTCCCTATCCTCGGGATTGAGCGACTCTACAGCTATTCTAACGGTGCACCTGGTCTGGTCACTGTGAATGCTTGCCGACCGCAGGTACGTCAAGCCCTCTGCCATTCTGTCTTCCCCTTGCTCTCCTGTGTGCTCTGCTCTCTTGTGACT